AGGTACGCTGTTGCTCAAGCGGTCGTGTGACTTTATGGATTTGGAGACAAAAAAAAAAAAAAAAAAATCAATTGTTGGTTTTGCTGATGGTGTACATGTGCTTGGGCTAGGCATTTGGTCGGGCTGGTCGCGATAAACAGGGTGGAACTGCCGAGCTGTGGCTACCAGTGAGACGTGGGCCAGCACCAGGCATGGAAAAGTTTGTCGAGGGCAATGCGTGCCGCAGCTGGGCGCTCGGCAAGTTGCTAGATCCCCGCGCCGCGACATGCTTTGCTGCCGGCCAGCCGCTTTGTGACGTGTGCGCAGGAACAGCACAGCGCCTGGAGCCAGCAATAGCTGCGCGCCAGCAGCGCGCTGCCCAAGCGTTGAGTGTGGGGCATGTGGAAGCAGAGCCCGAGGCGATGGCGGAGGAGGAAGATGTGTTGTCTGAGCCACCTGCAGCACGGCTCGAGGAAGAAGAATCGATCGGGCCAGAGTCCGCCTTGGATGTAACTTCAGCATCGAACGTTGACACAGTCGCGTCCCCAGGACCAGGTGCCGTTGCGGCGCAGTCGAGCAGAAGCACTCCACGTGCCCAGGACACGGCTGCGGTGGCGACAAATGCAGGGCCAATGACGGATGCTGCTGTGCCACGGATACAGACGAGTGATGCTTGGATTGGTGAGGCAGATACAGCATCCATGTCGGTGCCAGCTTCACCCATGGTCTCTGATGCTAATGACGAGGCGCCTTTACAGCAAGAGGCGCGTGGCCCGGTGCAAACCACGATGGCAGAGGACGAGAGCACGCCACAGCCAGTCATGCAGTCAGCAGCACAGCCAACCCCCACGAAACACGCGCCAACCCCGTCGGCCTCGATCATTTGCGTGCCAGTACCATCGGCCTCGGGTTCAACCTCCTCTCCGACGCGATCGGCTGCAAGCTCAGCCTCGGGTACACTGCGGCGTAAGCGAGTGCCGCTGGCAGCTGAAAGTACATGTACCCCTGGGTCTGACGATCATAACAACGTTGGCAACAGCATCGCTACCAGCCCTGCTCCCTCAACATCCAAGCGAACGGCATCGGATGTCACGTGCACAGGTGCTGCTTCTTTAACAGCGGCGCAAGCAGCAGAGTCGCGTCTTCCCGCAGCAAAACGAGCAGCATCGAGTGATGCGCGCACCGCCACCGTTGCCGCTACTGCTACCACTCGCTCTGAAGCCACGGTATCTGCTGCAGCTACGCCACCGAATCGGCACAACGTCGCGCCAATATTTCGGTCGAAATCGGGGACCAAAAAAAAATATCTGATGAACTACGCGGCGGCTGACAAGTTTATTGGCGTTCTGAAGTTGATGGATGATTACTGCATGCGATGTACCATTCGACAGGCGAAACCCGTGCTGAAGGCTGGGCATCAATGCGTATCTAATCGTGTTTGTGAGCGGTGTCACTTCAAAGGACATGAAGCAAGCAAATGTTTCGTGGGCTTCGCATACCCCGACAGAGCCTGTTGCTACGCTTGTGGAATGCCAAAGGGGATTCGTGGATGTAAAACATGGGATCACCTTTGCAGGCAGTCTCAAGGACTGGATTCGGGCCTGAGCTGTCTCCTCCTTTATTCGGACTGTCATTCGGGGCTGCGCGACCTGTCCCAGCGGATGGGCTACAACTTGAGGGAAAGGACATTGAAGGATATAAAAACGCGCGACTTGTTTGTCAAGTGGCTGTACTCGTCCGGTCCTTGTCCATTTCCAGGGGATGGGCATTGGCGTCTTGTGGAATTTGTGTTTGAAAGTGCGAGGGTCCTGCTTCCCTGTGCGGCGGAAGCCCAAGTCGGCCCCCTCGACAGTTTTCGTTAAACACACACACAGGAAGCTCTTTAGAGAATCAGAACACAGAACCGAATGTCAGAA